CATGTACTGTGCTGTCTAGAGCTTCTTTCCCCCCACCCTATTTTTTGGTGCTTTATTGCTGTTATTGTTATTATCTTAATTTTTCTTCTTCATGATGTGCTGTTAGAAACCACTCCGGGACTACTCCAGCAGTAGGAAGACCGAGGAGTGGAGTGGATGAATATACCGATGAGAGATCCAGTAATCCCTGGGACAAGCATGGCTTATCATCCTTTTTTACCTCACCGGGCACCGGACTTTGCCATGAGCGCTGTGTTGGGACATCAGCCTCCCTTCTTCCCGGCGCTGGCTTTGCCTCCCAATGGGGCGGCCGCCCTTTCCCTTCCCGGGGCTCTGGCTAAACCCATCATGGATCAGTTAGTAGGGGCTGCAGAGACTGGTATTCCCTTTTCTTCCCTGGGTCACCAGGCAGCAGCCCATCTGAGGCCTTTAAAAACTCTGGAGCCAGAAGAAGAGGTGGAAGATGACCCGAAAGTGCATCTGGAAGCCAAAGAGCTTTGGGAACAATTCCATAAAAGAGGCACGGAGATGGTGATTACCAAATCGGGAAGGTAGGTCTGGGTCGGGGGTTCGTGCCTGCCTTTTTTTTTTTTTTTTTCTTCCCGTCCCCTCTCTTTCCCCCACCCCTCGGTCTCTGCACCCCATCTGGCTGCTCCAGAGCAAGGCTCTTTCCGCGACAAATTCCTCCATAAAGCTCCTTTCACTTGGAATTATGGAAAGTTTTAGGCAGCTGAAGATCCGAGCCTGTCTCGGGCACCACGCTGCAGGGAAAAGCTCAACCTCTGAACCACGGACCGGCCCTGCTCAGCGTGTGCGTGTGCAGGGGTCGGGAGGGTCCCTTCATGCTTCAGTAGCTTAATACTTTCTGGAGAAGACTGGTAGCAGAGAAAAAGAAATAATTTGGCGTTGGAGAAGGAGCTGGCCTGATTTTAGCCTTGCTACGCGCAGTTTTACTTCCTTAAGAAAGAGAAGGGGGAATAAAGGAAAAAGAAAATTCTTTGGAGCGGTGTATCGCTGCTGGTGAGGCAGGAGCTGCAGGAGGGCAGAGAGGCTCGGTAGATCGGTTGCTTGGCTTGTGCCTGCCTCTCTGCTGGGACCCAGGCTTGCGTTTGTGCTGAGTAATTCTACCTGGAAATGCACAAAAAGTGGACAGAAATCCCCGGCGGTCCTGCAGCCGCTGCTGTCGTGGTCGTGGCAGGGAAGGTTTCGCAGCCGGTCCCTGTATTTATATAACCTTCACGTGGGAATGAATGAACATACACGGCGCGTCCACGCTCGGCGTTTCTGCTTTTTATAGGTTTACCCGTCTGAAATCCCTCTCTATATTCGCTACTCATTGACATCCGTGCTCTTTTACAAGTCTTACCTATCGCCGTGATGACACGCAGGGAGAAAAAAAAAAAAAAACCTTCGCGGCCGGGGGGTTTTGCTAAGGGACTCTCTTAGAAACCTCCCAAACAATTCGCGTGTAATTTGCCAGGAGAATTACTCGAGGAAGCCACTCCTGAAAAGTCTGTTTAGATGGCCTTCAGCTGCCTTGCTGGAGCTTCAGCTCCTTGCAAAGCACCAGTTACAGGCTACAGGCTCGGGGAGGGGAAAAAAAATAATCAAAAAACAAACTAAAAGCAGCAAGAAGGGGAAGAAAAAAAAAAATCCACTCTCCCATTTTACTGCTATCCCGAAGTTTTCTCTGTTAATTGCGGTCAAAAGTTTTTTTGCGCGAAAGCCTCGGCGAGTATGAAGCGCTCTTACATGCTGCAAAGTCATGTGTTTCCTTTTAAGTGGAGATTGCTGAATGCCAACCGCTCGATATAATAAACAGCAAATTTGTGGTATCCTGTTGCAGTTTCGAGCGGGACTTGGGAGCGGAGGGGTTTTGCAGGGAGCCCTCCGCACGCCCGGGTGATCCCCGGGAGGCTGCAGCGCTGGGAAAGCCACGGCAGCCACCCTGCCCTCGCCGGGGCTCGGGGTTTGGGTTTTTCTGGTCCTCTGCAAAGTGAAAAACTCCCCTCTCCGCCCTTCATCGGTGGACTGGGTTCTTACACCGCGGAGTATGTATTTTATCGGGGTGCGAGCTGTTCCCGTTTCTTTGTTTAGCAGGGAAAAAAAGGGAAATAATGAGAGATCTGAGAGCCCCGAGTGAGGCTTTGCTGTTCAGGAATGGCAGAGGGTAGGCGCCTGCTGATTTCGAGGGAGCACGTACCTCTCTCCCCTCCACCTCCCATCCCAGGGACCATTTTCTCCTGAAACTTTTAAGCGTTTGAGAAACCTTTTCCTGGGGGCGGGAGGAAGCCTTTTTGCTGGGGACGCACGCACACAATTTTTCTACTTCTGAGAGCTGAAGTGATTGCTTGGTGGACGTGCTGCCGAGATTGAGGAGCTTATTTAAACGCTGTAATTAATTTTATTTTCGTCTTTTCTTTATTATCCCCCTCCCTCTTTACCCGTAGGAGAATGTTTCCTCCATTTAAAGTGAGATGCACTGGACTGGATAAAAAGGCCAAGTACATTTTATTGATGGATATTGTGGCGGCTGATGATTGTAGGTACAAATTCCATAATTCCCGGTGGATGGTAGCCGGCAAAGCTGACCCTGAAATGCCAAAGAGAATGTACATCCACCCGGACAGCCCGGCCACCGGCGAACAATGGATGTCCAAAGTCGTCACCTTTCACAAGCTGAAGCTCACTAACAACATCTCTGACAAGCACGGATTCGTGAGTGCCTTTTCCACCTTC